TGCAGTGAAATAAGTGTTGGTAGGTTTGAGCTATTCGGTGGCTGCGAATCTGGGGGTGTAGGGGTGTAACATAATGTCAATTATGGCAATGACCCTAAATATGCTAATTTATTTATAAACGGTGTCTGTGTCTTATTTAGGTTGAGGTTTTATATAGTACATGCCGGATAACGACTGTGCACATGTCATGAAGCCCCTGGAGCAACGCAGTGGGGGAGTGGGCCTTGACAGGGCCAGGGAGTGGGCAGGTGTAATTGAGTTAGGGGCTGGTTTAGGTTAATGCAGCTTGAGGCAGAGTATAATTAGTTAAACAGCGGCCATCTTAGAGAGTTGCCAGTTTAATCTGAGCCTGTTAGTTGTCCCGCCCACCCTCCCTAGGTTTTGAGGTAATCTCTCGTTTGGTCACAGCGGCAGGAACAGGGCGTGGTAAATTTGGAATTTTGGTGGAAATGGACAGGCCAAAGTCTAGGCTGGAGTAGGCCGGAGTGAAATAAGTGTTGGTAGGTTCGAGCTCTTCGGTGGCTACGAATCTGGTGGTGTAGGGGTGTCTGGGTACACCCCTACAGTTAACCTTTTGGATCTGGGGCGTCTTTGGTAGGCCGTGTGTTATAAGTTAAGTGTTATTTGGATGTTATTTATTGTTCAAGTGGTAGGGTCATTGTCAGGGGTATTGTGCGGGGGGATAGTAACATAATGTCAATTATGACAATGACCCTAAATAGGTTAATTTATTTATATATATATATATATATATATATATATATGTAATAATTTAATAAAGCTGTGGACTTTATACTCCAACAGTATAAACGGTGTCTGTGTCTTATTTAGGTTGAGGTTTGATATAGCACATGCCGAATAATGACTGTGCACATGTCAAGCACAAATATGCAAAAAAGGTGTTTTCAAGGGTGTTATTAGTTACACCAGGTGTGCTTGAGCTGGAATACTTGAAGTAGCTGAATGGGCTAAGGGTTTGTTGAGCGTTTGACTGCATGTTAGAAATATGGCTAAGTCAAAAGAACGGTCCACAAAGTTAAGAGAAGAAATCATCACCCTTCACAAACAAGGAACAGGATACAAAAAGATAGCAAAGGCACTGAGTGTTCCTAGAGACATCATTGGAAGCATAGTTTTCAAGATCAAAATTGAAGGTACAGTGGCTACACTACCTGGACAGGGCAGAAAAAGGAACGTATCAATGGCTGCAACCAGATTTCTAAGAAGGCAGGTTGTGAAAAACCCTTGCATGACTGCAAAAGACCTGCAACAAGACTTGGTGGCAACAGGTACTGAGGTTTCAGTGAGCACAGTAAGGCGCGTACTAAATGCAGGTTTCCATGCAAGAACTTCAAGACATACTCCACTAGCGACCCAAAAGGAGAAGATAAATCAGATCCAATATGCTCAAAATCATATAAAAAAAGTCACAGAAGTTTGAGGATTCTGTTCTGTGAAACAATGAAACAACTGGAACTTTTCGGCCCAATGGATCAGCGGTACGTCTGGAGGAAAAAGAATGAAGCATATGCTAAAAAGAGAACTCTGTCTACAGTTAAGCATGGTGGTGGCTTTGTATCCTCTGGCACTAGAAATCTACAATGTGTGGAAGGTAAGGTGGATTAATTGAAGTATCAAGAAATCATGGGAGAAAACATTATATCATCTGTGAGAAGCTGAAGCTTGGATGTCATTGAACCTTTCAACAAGACAATAATCCCAAGCATATCTCAAATTCCTCCAAGGCTTGGTTGCAGAAGAAGTCCTGGAAAATTCATGAGCAATGGGCTAAGATTCCTCAGGAACGCTGCCAGAAGCTTGTGTCTGGCCATGTGTCTCATTTTCAGCAGCTCATAACAGTAAAAGGGTGCTCTATTAAGTACTAAAGATACTTGCCATGAAGGGGTTGAATAATTCTGAGACTGGAGAAGTCATTATAAGTTGCATTTTCAGTTGAAGTTGGGGGAACCACTTGAAGCATTTGTTGTGTTGAGTCATTTCAATTGCTTTTGTCTGATTTCTTCATTGCAAACAGCTGAAAGTCTGTAAATTTGGACAAATTGTGATTACAACTGTGTATAGTAAGTAGCCTTTCCTACAGATTCACTATGTTCATGTTGGGCGTTTCAGTTATGGAGCTGTTGAAGTTGAGTTTCCAAAATGTGTACAATGAAAGTTAAAGGGACACTTACACTCTGTAACCGCTTCATGTCATTGGAGTGGTTATAGTGTTGAGAGTCCTCTGGTGCCCATAGCAACCAATCTCTTCTGTGCTGCTTGGGCTAATGAGCAAGCATTAATCTGAGCAGCAATGTGTGACTTTGATTGGCTGAGAGTGTCAGCTGACTGCTTTTAGCCTATCACAGCACTTATTCCTGGTATTAACCTGTATGGCTCGAAGGAAGTGTGTAATCTCTGCCTTAGCCACACCTCCAGTTGGGGCCAGGCTGAGGTGGGTCCCTGCCCTTAAGTGGTGTTAAACCATTCAAAAAAAGTTGAATAAAACTGAATGCAAGGACAGTGTCAAGGGACTCCAGGCGCTATAATC